GGCAAAGAACGACTCTATTGAGTTTGATGGAAACAAGCATCGAAACTGGCCATGAACATTCATTTAAAAATTTTGGGAATATTTTTTTTGATGCTGATTGTTTGGCAAAACTTGTAAGGAAATTCTTAAGTTTCAAGAAAATCTATTTTTCTACAGTTTGATTCACCTTTTCGTTGGAAAACCATTCTTCTAAACATGGAAGTCTGGCAAAGAACGACTCTATTGAGTTTGATGGAAACAAGCATCGAAACTGGCCATGAACATTCATTTAAAAATTTTGGGAATATTTTTTTTGATGCTGATTGTTTGGCAAAACTTGTAAGGAAAATCTTAAGTTTCAAGAAAATCTATTTTTCTACAGTTTGATTCACTTTTTCGTTGGAAAACCATTCTTCTAAACGTGGAAAGCTGATGAAGTGAGGTTAAGTTGAAGTTGAATAGTTTTGTGCAGAAATTCGGACTAACTTCAAGTCAATTGAAAAACAGATTTTCAAAATTGTTCCCAACTGGTTGCTTTTATATCGAAATTGGGAAAACTTTGCGAAATTCTACCAAATACATTGTTGCCAATTTTCTAGTTGAGTTTTTTGCTAATATCTTGGTGCTTTTGGGAGAAATATTTTTTCTGCTTTTCCACACACTTCTAGAAGAATGGCCCAAATTTTTACCCAAAATATAGAAATGGTGCAATTTGTTTTAATTTTACCAAAGAAGAATTTGCCAAAATTTTCCCAGTTTCGCCTTTTTCTGGCGTATATATAAAACAAAATTGTAAATAGCATAAAATTGAAGTAAATTAAAAAATCATAGTCAAATGAAGATCGCGTAAATGTATTTAAAAAATCACTGATCCTCGAATAAACCCAGTGTGGATAAATGAAAGACAGCACAAAAGTAGAAATCAACAAAAATTGCAAAATCACTTTTATTTACAAGCATTTTTGTGGTTTACAATGCGAAAAAAGATATTTGGAAGTGGGATGAATTTCAGACATTACCATTCCTGAAAACGAAACATTTCTGAGCCCATTTTCAGTCAATTTTCTGTGATTTCTACACGTTTTGCCAAAGCATTAGTCGAAAAGCTGCTAAAGCGGGATGTTTAATAATTTTCCATGAGATTCAGGAGATTTGGAAAATCTCCTTGAACTATGAGGGAAAGACCAGCGACTTACCAATGTACTTTCTCACTGGCTCAGAATAGTAAGTCGTATAACTAACTCTCGAGTTTACCGGAGAACTAACGATCGTTCTTTGGATGTAATTATTGGTACTGTACCTCGAGATAATCGGATCATCGTAATATCTGGAAAAAAAGCAAAATTTTACAATTTTTTTCAACGTCTTTGGCAGGTAAGTTTAGGCAACGGGCATACAAAAAAAAATGAAAATTGGTCACCAATTGCGAAAAAAAATAGAGAGAATAAACGTTTGCTAAAAACGCAACTCTTTCCATTCAATGTTTCCTTAAACGTTTTTTTTGTTTTTTAAACTAGCTAAAGCGCTTAAAATTCTGTTTTTATTTTCTCGTCTTTTTCTTGTTGTCTTAAACAATTTGTGAATTATTAAATTTGTGAAATTCACAAAAGGGTTTTTTTTGGGTACAACCGAGTTTCACGTTGCCAAAGTTCACAATTTTTAAGAAAGTTTCTGATGTTTTTTTGCTTACCTATGCACAGTGGATGGAGTCCAGGTAAGGCGAGGAACGCGTGGCACCGGATCGTGGATTTTACGCAACAACGCGGATGTTTGCGCCCGAATAAGACTTGTCTCATTATCAAATATCTAAAAATAAAAAACAATCCTTAGTACAGAAAACGCTTATATACATGGAGCGATAAAATGGTGCAAAGAGGGGTGTGGAGGCGATAAGCGGACCTGCAGAAAAGCAGTGGGCACCAAAAGGGCTTAATTGCAAGAAGCAAATTTTTAATTAGCAAAAGTTTGCGTGATTAAAGTTGCCTTTTGTGTGCAAAATTCTAGCTTAAGCACCAAACGTGTTGCTGGCAATAAGCCACTTTGCATCGAAAGCAGCGACTTTTTTTGGTTGTAAAATGCATCAGTGTTGGAAGAACGTTGCAAATATTAACGATGGCTCGCTTCATATCAAAGAAATTATGTCGCAAATAAAAGCCAGGCCGAGTATGAAGCACGTGTGGCAAAAGATGCGTAATTTGCAATTTGCCGTGTATTTTCAGTCGGTTAATTCGGCAAATTATTTGCAAACAAGCCGAGATTTTTTCCTATCAAATCTGCCTTTCTCACTGAATATTCATTCAACATTTCCTGAAATACCCAGATAATCCGGTTGGGGGCTGATTGAGGAGGTTTGCAATTATTTTTCCTTTATTATCTCGCTATATTTGTGTGAATCTCAGGCACCCCAGCACAGGTTTCGAGCTTTTTTATCTCATCGGCTTGAACGTGAAAATAACCCTTCCAAAACGTGCAGAGAAAATGGAGTTTTGGTCAAAATGTCTCAAATTTTACATAATTTTCAGCTCACCGAAGAGAGGAATGCATCGAACTCATTGAAAAACATGGTAGAAGTTTCAGATCCGAAATATTAGACATTTTAAGCGTTTTTGAGCCTTCACCATCTTTTGCCGACGATTTTTTCCTTATTATTAACACAAACACTCTATAAATGCATATTTGTGGCTTTCTTAGATCGAAAAGCATCGATTGAGCCCAAAAAATACGCATGTGAAATTTTGATTTTTAGTCGA